CACGCGATAGACGAGCGAGGAGCGGTGCGCGGGACGCTGGGCGTGCGCAGCATGCACGGAGGTGGCAGAGACGTGCGGACGATGGGCAGCGACGCGGGCGATGGCCTAGACTGCGTAGGCATAGGAGTACCGGACGCCGACCGCGGGGCACAAGGCGACACACGCGAGGAACTATGCAAGAACAAGGGTGCAAGCCTATTCCTCGTAGGAATAGGCAAGGTGCGAATACTAATCCTCGCAGGAATAGGAAAAGCAGTTGAGTGCCGGAACGCGCGTGGGAGATCGGTGACGGGAGTAATCCTCGGAAGATCAAGAAACGTAACCGAGAGCATATTCCTAGTAGGAATAGGAATAGAGGATATGGACTCGAAGCATGGTCCTACAAGGAATAGGAGTGGTGCAGCAGGCGTGCGAGACCTAGTCATCGAAGGACTAGGCGAGCGGGGCAGTGCGCGCGCGCGTGCAGGGCAAGACGCGCGACACCTAGCAGCCTAAGGAGTAGGCAACGCGCAAGTCGGCGCGCGCGGAGGCGTCGTGCGAGTACTTGGGCGCAAGACTTGGAGCTTCTAGAATTGTTTGGAGTGCAAGACAAGTAATTAGGAGATCTACTAGATTTAGGATTTTTTGGTAGTAGGATATTTACTTGCCGTAGGATTTAATATTTAATTGTTTTATTAGTTTCCTATTAAGATTAGCACTAGAGGTAATTGGCATCTATAAATACCCATGTACCTCTTCATTAATAAACATGTTGAGTCTTGGAATTGATGAGTGAATCTCATAGAGGGGGAACTTATGTTCTTACGTATGTTTAAACAAGGCCGTTAGTGCATGTTTACATACAGTGTCGGAGAGAAGGCCATTAGAGCGTCTTGAAGTCACGGTATCTAGGAGAAGGCCGTAGTGCGTCTGTTAGATACACCTATCGTGGATAAACGAAGGCCCTAGTGCGCGTTTATTCACAACCCACGTATAGATAACAACACGATCCTTCATCATTGGTGCTTTCATTGACAGGTGCTGATCGTGTGTTTATCTATCCTATCGTTTTCTTTTTTTCGGTTTACCTTTTGTTGAGGGACCGAATTTCTTTTCTTTTTTGGTTCGAAATTTTCGAATTTTTATTCGAAATTTTCATTATTTTTTCGAAAGTCTTAAAAAGAAAAAAAAAGTGTCATCTAGTCCTTTGTTTGATTTTTGTTCGGTTATTACCTTTTGTTGAGGGGCCGAATTTCTCTTTGTTTTTTGAATTTTTTGGTTCGAATTTTATTTTGAATTCTTAGAGTCATAAAAAAAAAAGAGTCATGATGTTGCCTTTAGATGAATTGGATTGGGAGGATCTTGAGTATCTCGAAGGTTTGGAGAGGGAATTAACCCCTTGGGAGCAAAATTATTTGGAGGAGATGTACGAGCAAAAGGAGAAGCTCGAACAACAACTCAAGATCATTGAGGAAGAGCAACAAGCCGAGGCCGATGAGAAGTTCCCAGGATCGTGCGAGCATGAAGCCGAGCGCAAGGGTATCGAGATCCACGATGAACCCATGTTCTCGTTCGAGTTGGCAGGGATTTTTTACGAGGAGACCATATTTTCGTCCGATGTTGTGGGCTATGCAAAGGATGAGGAACTGAAGGTCGTCGAGGTAATTGGTGGTGCGAGCGAGCGCGCAGATGATGTCGATGGTGAGGTCTCGGTCGAGTTCAAAGAAGTCAAGATCGAAGGAGACATAGTGATCGGGGAGGTTCGAGAAGAGGATGAAGAGGGCGTACATGAGGAAGTTACGTTCATAGTCCTAGAGGTCGATGAAGGAGTGCCCGATGTTTGGATGGTCGAGGATGAATCCTTGAGGACAAGGAAAGTCTCGAAGAGGAGGGGAATGATACGGAAGTGGGTTCCGGACCCCAGTGACAAGAAGATCCAAGAGGCGAGACGACCCGATGAGGCTGAAGATAGGGCCAAAACGATGCAAGCATGGCCTAAGAGACGGGTGCGAGCTCGTATGCGAGGCGCAATGACACGCAAGAAAGGGCGAGAATACGCGCATTGGCGTAGACGCGCATGGCGTTTGGAGGTTGGAGCATTGGTTGGCGCGCAGGGAGAGGATGTAGGGAGGTTGGCGCGCACGAGGGATTGCAGAGAATGGACGAGCGCGTATTGGGCGCTGGACGATGCGCGAGCGGTGCTGGGCGTGCATAGGCACGCGATAGACGAGCGAGGTGCGGTGCGCGGGATGCTGGGCGTGCGCAGCATGCACGGAGGTGGCAGAGACGTGCGGACGATGGGCAGCGACGCGGGCGATGGCCTAGACCGCGTAGGCATAGGAGTACCGGATGACGACCGCGGGGCGCAAGGCGACACACGCGAGAAACGATGCAAGAACAAGGGTGCAAGCCTAATCCTCGTAGGAATAGGCAAGGAGCGAATACTAATCCTTGCAGGAACAGGAAAAGCAGTTGAGTACCGGAACGCGCGTGGGAGATCGGTGAAGGGAGTAATCCTCGG